ACTGAAGGACGGCTACTGCTGCTGCTGCTGCTGCTGCTGCTGCTGCTACAAGAGTCAAAAGTATTATTCCCTGGCGCGCTCCCCCTTGCGTCTGCCGGGGTCGGCGGATATGGTGTTTCAATTCTGTTCAAGTCCATGGTAATTTTTTAAATAAGAAACAAGACTCGGACAGCTAGTGGGCTTGCCAGCAATGCGGCAAGGGATTTTGTACACGCCGAGGTGTTGAATAACCTGCAGGAGCTCCTGCAACAGCTCTTGAATACGGCTGTGGATAGATCAGTGGCTTTCACCAGCAGCATCAACAATGCGTATTTCCAGGCGGTTGGTGCTGATTTGCCCGACAGCCCCTTGGAGATACAACATCCGGCCCTCACAGATGTTGCTGTTCACAACCAGCTGTGACGAGCTGAGGTTCCACTGAGTTCATGTACGTGCAGGTGAATGTGATGAGGGATTGGTTCCAAAAATTCATCAACTCCATCATCATTGGCTTCACCATAGGCACGGACAATGAGCTGGTACTTGTTTTTGTGGGAAGTTGAAGCCGAAATCATTCAGTTGCCCAAGCCATCCAGATTCAGATTGTTTCCCTGCCGAAAAACATGCTGCTTTGAATTAGATTTGGAGTCTCTACTTAAAATTCTTGGAAGGTAAGAAAAACCAAGCATAGGCCCCATAGTTCATATAGTTCCCATAGGAGTCCTGGCAAACCTGCGGTTTCAGTGGTGGGTTCAAGGCATTTGCGTGGCGGCCGTCCTGACGATCTCGGCTCTGGTGGGTGGTTTTTATCACTTCAGACAGTCCGTGATGGATGCCCGACTCGGCAAGTTCGATTTCCAGAAGAAAAATGCCAAGTCACTGGTGATTTGTCAAGCATGTTTTTAGTTATAAAACCTGATGAGGCTGGATCTTATATATATATACATAATATATATATATGTAATTATAGAATATAATCCGAAATTGACTAACACATGTTTTTGGGAATTGGGAATAAAGGATGATAAAAGGGTATGAAAACACATGTTAACCCCATGGTATCCGCACCAGGTTGGTCTTCGCCACTGCCTACATTGGTATCAACATCTCATCCTCCATCGTTTCGTACATTTTGATCGTCGCTTTGGTGACTTTGGTGACGCTTCCCTTCACCTTCGCACTCACCTGGCGAGTGATTTGGGAAAATCTCGGGACTATTTTGGTGACTTTTGTGTTACCGAAGATCCTGAACTTTATTCTCATGAAACTCACCAAGAAGTGTATCTTTGGGCCGACCTTCATCAAGTCGCGTGCAGGACATCTGCAACATCCCCCAATTCATCGGGTGATAATGGTGTCTTTGGGGCCCTGCTTGGGGATTTATGAAATCTGTAGATCCAAAAACAGCCGAGATCAGCCAGGAACCGGTCGATTTACCACGGGACATTTCGGCAGGAGCTTCGATCTTTCACTTCTGGAGTACGTTCCTGGCACTTCCTGGAGGTAGATGGTGGTTATCTGTCAATGTGGTCAGATGTGCTACAAAGACCCATTGTCAATGTGGTCAGATGTGCATTGGAAAATATTGGAAAGCTATACAAAGCAAGATTATTGGTAAATTTCCAACGGGTATTTTTTCAGCCAGAATCTTGCTGCAGGTGTGGTGACAGCTATCGTAAGATTCGTCATGGGAATCTCGGCTTTTCATCTGCCCAAATGTCATTTGCTTGTGGCTTTTGAACAGTGCTTGTATCAAATTTGTCCCAACATCTTTGGCCAAGACTATACATCATTTCTTTACAACACCTAGCCAATGCGATCCCTCTTAAAGTTTCTTAGTATCTTAGCTGTATCAGCCAAGCAGCTAAGGATTGGTTGGGGTCCTTGTGATGTTGCCCATCACCTATGGCAACAACAATCCACAGATGGTGAACAAGGTCATGTTGCTGGACTCGCCGGGGCCATAGGCTGCCATGCTGTGGCAAGTGGTTGATTCCCATCATATCATCACAGCAAGATTTCGAGTGCCGAGTGCCTCAGTAGAACAGCAGGGGAGATGCTGAGGACATATCGCACCTACATTGCCTTTGTAATGCCGCTGCGTCGCATCTATCTCGAGTGACACACACACATTTTCGTGGCACTTTGCAGTGCAGAGGTTTCTGCGACACTGGTATAGCCACATGGATCAATTCTGATCAGTTCATTCTATATAACTTCACTTTCTGGATTGGGAACATGCGCCAATGCCCAAAGTACAGAGAAAGCTGGCTGTGCTGACGCGTCAGGCAGTATGCGACGCACAACAACCCCATCATGATCACCGCAGCGCAGCGGCTCATGGCAATCAAAGCCCAGCGTGCAAAGTTTAAGGAGGCAGGGCATGTCAGGTCGCATTGTGTCAGGTCGCATTGCAGCGTGGCTGCCGATGCCGATGCCGATGCCATGGATGCCAGTTGATATCAGTTGATGCCGTAGATGTCAGGAGAAAAAGCATTGGACATCCAGCAAGAGTATGTTG